GTGTCATTTCGTACGTTAGATTATTTTCATTCATACAACATGCCACAATAGCGATATATTATGCCAAATGCGCGCTTCTAGTACTCGTGGACTTTATTCTGCAGTCATTATTAATATGTATGTGTTGATGTCACCCATAACTTGAAGGAAACCGGCTTATAAGTTAATTATAATATTTTTTTGTTTATCATTTATGTGGCTTTGCACGGAAATACGATTAAGTATTTGAATTAAATTAATGATTAATTCTAGCAATGGTATTGCGAATAAAATGTTAATGTATACCTTTAAGTTATTATTCTAATCAAAAAATATTTGCTGTCAGTTATTATATTTAAATAGTATAAGAATTATTAAACGAGTTATAAATTTTTTATTGAAATAGCCAAAAACGTATGGATAACGAGTCGTTAATTTACACTTAAGTTACTTAAGACATTAATAATTTCATAATTGTCTAAAAATATTTCACGGTTTTTTTTAATGTTACAGGAGGCAAACGGGCAGGAGACTTATCTGACGTTAAATGATACCGCCGCCCATGGACACTCGCACTGCCAGAAGGCTCGCAAGCGCGCTGCCGGCCTTTTAAGAATTGGTACGCTCTTTTCTTGATTTTCTTTTACATTAATTTTAAATTGGCATTTATATTAATATAAAAAAAGATTTATATTTAAAAAGAATCGAGTTTTTTTTCAATTGATGTAAATAAAATCTGATTGCAGTTGTTATCTAATAAATTAACAAGAATTTAAAAATAACGACATCTTAACAGGTGTTTAACGAATGCGTAATGATTAATTATGTATTTATACAGGTACGGGGTTATAAATCGTTTGAATAATTTGAAATAATGTATTATAATTAGTGTGTTTAATCAGGTTCCCCATGTGTGTTGTCTTTCAAGTTTGTAATATGTTACGAAAGGACATAATTGCGTTAAGGCATCGTTAGAATAGCTGCATTACGAATATAGGCAAATTTATTAATACTTTTAAATGATAACAAAAAAATGAGTACTGCGGTGCTTAGAGCTAATAAAAGACCAAGAAATAACATTTACATAATTATTATTAGATATTAAAAAACAGTCTTTTGTGGTGGTCTGTAACGGTTTTATCCTTTTTTATTTTTATTTATATAATTTTGCGTGTTTTGTGATTGTTTATTATGATTATTATACCCACTCTTTGATAGGGTTTTACTGCGTAATCAAAAGAAAAATATACTAAATTAAAAACACGTTTTAAGTAGTTTTTGGTTAAATAATATTTTGAAACTAATATGGGACGGGCTTTGGTATGGTATGCTCCTTGTGTGGACATAAACACAACACACACACACACGAATACGCAAAAAAAGCCCGGACAGTCCCAGAGCTGACGGAAAATAATAAGCGGCTCAAATATAAGAGTCTTTCCTCCAACATCGATTTTGTTCCCTTTGGAGTAAAGACTTTTGGGCCGTGAGGTTCAAGTGCACAGCGGATAATTAAAGATTTAAGTTGGTGCCTGGTAGATACTACCAGTGAACCCAGAGCTGGTGCTTTCCTCGCTCAACGAATAAGTATCGCAATACAGCGATAAAATTGCCAGCGTTAAAGATACACTGTCATATGGACCAAACTGTTTAAATTTATTTTAATTTTCCTTTTATTATTACTTTGTAGGTTAAGAAATTTGTAAATACTGTATAATTGATTGTTATGTTTAGGATGTTAACAATTATTAAAGTTTTTGTGAACCGATCTTTTGTTGAGCTTAAAGCAATAGACCAAAGGTGATATATTAGCAAATACTTATAATGACGATTGTGGCATTCAAACCGCATGTGATATGAAGAAACCTTACAGTACGAGGCTTCGTAACGGCAGGACTGACGCAACGTGTGCTGTGTTTTGATGAGATTGACCCTTGTCCTTAACGAACATGCCTTGTGCAAATATACGAAAATTGACTACAGAATTACTTTAATTGGGTTTTAGATTTACTGGAAATTCATACTACGATAATTAGTCGAAATGTAAATAAAATCTAAGTTAACTAAGCGTAGATATACATTTCAAATCTATACTCAGCCACATAGAGCTTTGTTAGAGCTTGATAGTGGGAGCTAATCGAAAGAAAAGAGCGTACCACTTCTTAAGAAGCCGGCTTCAGAGCCTTCTGGCAATGTGAGTGCTTTTATGCGGCGGTATCACTTAACATCAGATGAGCCTCTTTGCTTATTGTTATTATATTTTATATATGTAACAGGCGACATATATAAAAATAAGCGTGTTTATATATCTAATCATTACTATGTATATATTTTTAGACCAAGTGTTAATTACAAACATATGATTTTTTTTTATTTACAAAATAGAATTTTTAATGTGACAAGCACTTAAAGGCAAACATGACATACATGTTGAGATCATACAAATATTAATCAAAACAATTATTAAACAAAACGAACATTACAAAAAAAAAAACAATTACTAATCAAAAAAATTAAAATTACAAAAAACTAAACAACAATCGATTTTATAGTGTGAGGGGAGCAAATATGGATATCCATACCTAGCTAGCAGTTTTAGTAAGAATGTTTCGTTATTACTTTGACTCTTCGGGATTTAAAATTTTGCATTTTTTTGATTGGCTGTAGTTGCCAACAAGTAGGCTGGTCACTTTAAATGAAGGAATAGTACCCATGGACACTTGCAACGCCGGGGGCTAGCGGGTATGTTGCCGACCTTTCAGGGAATGGTACGCTCTTTTCTTGAAGGCTCCTAAATCGTATTCGGAAATAGTTCTACTGGCAGCTGGCTCCACAGAGGTGGTCCAGAGAGTGCCTTGTTGCGCTGTGTTGTGGAAACGCTGTTTGTATGGTCATGAAAATATCAGTATCGGGTTGTGTTAAGTATTATACTTTTAACATAGTATGTAAAAAAATCTTATACTTCTTATAGTCAATTTTGTATTCAGTTTATCGATATCGATGTAAATGGATCAGCACTAATGGATGTCAGGTGAGCGCGACCCTTTTATCGATTTTGCGATCGTTGCTTTTTGATAGGAAATAGAATTATGTAAGGAAGGCGCAGTGCTGACGTCAGATGCAGCTATCGATAAAATATTTGATTAAGCTCGCTTTGACCCTCGCTAGTGATGTACTCGTTGCAGATATAATCGAATACAGGTATGTAAAAAATAGGTCAGAAAACTAGAATTTTGTGTTGTAAATCATTTATTGATATGTTATTTGAACGCACGATTTAAGCGTTCAGAGTCGTACGCTCGAGCCTCAAGTCCAACACAGCTCGTAAAATTATTGGTTATATTATAATAATAACACTTTATTTACAATGAGACAAAGCAAAAGACAAATATAATTTAAATAAATGAAAACAAAGCGGTCTTACTGCTATAAGCAGTTTCTTCCAGATTGTACTGTAAACTGTCATTCTAACCGTTGATTGATGTGACACAAGAGATTTTTTTTGTTGCCTTGAGTATCAAGAGGACATAAATTAACATTATTTATTTGACATTTTATTCTTTACTTACTAGTATTATGAATAACATAAAAAATGGAAACAATAAAAAAATCAACAAATGTGTTATCGATAAAAATAACCCCATCATTATGGCAGCAGGTGCAACCACTGGCAGTCTATCGATACTGCAAGCGTGCAATATTTCTGTTTAGTTATTTCAATAGAAAACTGTTTAGAATATTTTATGAGTTACAATTTATACGAATGTATGGGAACAGAATTAATTTCTATCTCTGTGGTTCTTTTATATTATTTATTTATTTTAACCATCTGCAATCAGCTTCTTGGCTTGCTTTTCTTTGGTTGGTTCTCATATACAAATATAGTAGCTACACAAATATAGTGAATACACTGTATAGTATTACATACTTTTCTTGGCCGCCGGCTGAAATTGATACTACCGTCGCCATTTTGATGCGTACAATAAATAATTTTACTATCTACCAACATCTAATAAAAATCCAACTAAAATGTATGTATTTTTATTCCTTGCATTATTAATTACAATGGCAAAGTTTTAATTATCGAACGGTTCTGATTGCTATGTATCTTAATTGATATTATATTAATAGTACAGGTATCATAACCTATCATATCAGTTGTACCTAAGTTTGTGTAATTTAAAGTCTAGAACCGTATTTTCTATATACTAGTATACATTGTTCATTAAGACATTTCAATAAATTATTAAGTTAGCATACATGACTTGAAATTATTCCCCTTGTAATATCTAATATTTATTTACTGTCAATACTAATATCCATCACAGCTACGCTCTTACCGACCAAGAAAAGTATGTGGCAGTAAGTATAAGGCAAAGGTAACCAGACGTTGTCATAAAAGGAACAGTGCGTCATAATTTATATGAAAGAGAATGCCGTATTACTTAGTTCTCGGCTGTTAAATTTATTATATAATATTAAAAAAGAAGATTATTAGTTTAAAAAGAAAGAACACTCCACGTAGACTCCATTCTAGGATTCCCTGTGTCGTGAGCAGCCAGTCTCTTCCTTTTGCCATATTAAAGGTACTTGACGTAATAATTTCTATATAATTTCATATTAAAAAATAAATCAGTGGCGCTACAACCTCTTGAGGGGGCCTCAGATTTCTGTATCTGTTTCATGATCATTTTTCAATCTAATGGGCAAGTAGGTGATCAGCCTCCCGTGCCTGACACACGCCGTCGACTTTTTGGGTCTAAGATATGTCGGTTTCCTCACGATGTTTTCCTTCACCGTTCGAGTGAATGTTAAATGCGCACATAGAAAGAAAGTCCATTGGTGGAACAGCCGGGGATCGAACCTATGACCTCGGGGATGAGAGTCGCACGCTGAATCCACTAGGCCAACACTGCTCTAACATATTTCATATACAATATATAACAATTTAGTTGCACAGTAATAATACTTGTCGTCGCTGCAAAGAACAGGTTGAAACAGGTGTTTAGCATGAACCTTACCTTTTAAGAACAGCACAAAGTTCTTCTTGTCATCACTACCCTTGGGGTACTCCCAGTCCACGTCCAGCCCATCGAAGTTCCTGTCCCGGAGGTACGGGATAGCTGAGTAGATGAACGTCTGTCTGGAGTACCGAGTTGCTGACATTTCCTTGAATTTCTGAGTACCGAAGGACCAACCACCTGGGAAGAAAGTTATCTGTTAATTTAATTTAAAAAAAACTATTAAAATAGAAGTACCAAAAGAAAGTCAGGAGCCCCATCAGCACGTCGACACACATTTTTTTTCTACATGTGTCTTCACTAAGACATCATGGAACATTACGAACTAGCCTAATTTAAGACTAATAAGTAACTTAAGTCTAACCTAATTTACTAATAATGTTATTTAACACAGTCTCTATTAAAGGGAAGACACTCTGTTCTTAATACTAACGTGTACTAAGACTAATTCACTAGTTCAAATGATTTTGTCCTTTTCAGTCCTCTCACTAGGCCCTTGGTATCAAGGAATTGAATAGCCTCGACATTCACGACGTGATGGTGGAGCCTATGTTCGTGGGCTCCGGCAGTCTTTTTTATTAATGTGGCGACGTCACATTGAAGTAGACACATGATCTTATCAAAAACAGTATTGCATTTAATATCAGAACCAGTTCTTTGAATTTATGACAAAATGATTAAGGTAGTTTTGTATATCATAAAAACGCGCCTACGCGATGGCCAAAAAGAGCAATCATCGCCCATGGATATTATTTAATGCGTGCATTGCCAGCCTTAGTGGAAGTCTCCAAGTGTGGTTGAGAACAGATAATTCGCTGTAGTAAAGCGTCATTGATGTTGTCAAATCACAAATTCATTTATTCATATAGGTAACACAATGTACACTAATGAACGTCAATAAAGAAATATACATTAAATGCTTCTAATTTTAGTTGCTGCCGATGGCGTTGCTGTTAATAACTGACCATAATGTTTAATGTTTAAAGAACTTTATTTCTCAGTACAAAAAAAATATTTTTATTTACATGAGAAACTTAACATGTATATACGAACCACCATGACTATTAGCACATTTGTAAAGTTAAATTTATGTGGATAACATAATAAATTCGCGTTAATATCATAAACATATAAGTTTTAACATAGTCTATTTTTGTGTTTAATATGTGATTAAGGTATAATAATTGGACCAAATATTCGCATTGCAAAGGAATTTTTCCTACGCCTGAGAAAATTGATTAAGTATTAACAATACATTTTCACAATCTGATTACATAGTTCATATTGTTGCATATGCAGTTTTTATTGATACTATTAAATAAGGAAAAGGCGTACGTGGGAACTGGGGTACTAGTGATGGAATTTATATCATACTTTTAGTATGTTTTTACTATGATAACGTTGTATTTTACATATTTATGAAACAGGTAGGAGGCTCATCTGATGTTAAGTGATATCATACCGAGCGATTTATTAAAATATTGGTAACCATGGTAACAGCAGTAGTGTTGGCCTAGTGGCTTCAGAGTGCGACTCTCAACCCTGAGGTAGTAGGTTCGATCCGCGGCTATGCACCAATGGACTTTCTTTCTGCGCATTTGACACTCGCTCGTACGGTGAAGGAAAATCGCGTGGACAGGCTTTCCAGTGACGACTTGCTATTAGATTAAAAATATGAACAGATACAGAATTGAGGCCAGGCCTGATTTGGCCATGATTTAATTATTTTATTTTTAAGCATGGTAACAAATAAGGTACCTTAAGCCCACCGTTAATTGAAAGCTGATAGCATATGCTCCGTTCATAAAGGAACAATAAAAACGTATTATTTAAAAATAATACTAGTAAATAATCATAGTGACTATTACTTCTTTCATTTCCCTAATAACTATTATTTTATTATGATATATCTGTAATAATATGTCAGGAAGTGCTCTAGGGTTGCGATAGAAAGTTTTTTATATAACGAGTGTGGTATGTCAAGCAATTAATCTTATGTAAGTGGAATTGTCAGGTTGTCTCGTTAAACAAAACATTCCGCATAATGTCACTTTCTACTTGGCGTATTCATGTCAATATTGTGATGTATTTGAAGATTTATCTACTAAATTTGTAGATTTTGAATCTTATTCATTGAAATTAATATTTAGTTCAAGAAACACAGACAATGACAATTGTGTCACTGTCAATATTGACAGTTGTTAAACTTTCAAATTAAAATACAGACTATGTTTTAGCTCGAAAGGAACAGAACACATCGAAATCGTGAGGACTGGGTTGTCATTTACAAAATGTGTCAATCACTACAGTTTATCACGTAAAGAACGGAAATGTCCAAAATATATCTGCTCCAATTGGGCTACGGGACTTTACATTTCCCTAAGAAGACTATATAAATATTATATTAGTATCATATAAAAATAGAATTAAAATATACAACACGTTTACGTAAATCGCGTGTTCGAAATAATTGCCTTTATTAAGCGTATTATCATCAAACAAAAACGGTATTGTGAATCAATTATTTTCATTTGAATTCGAGAGTTTCCGGAATATTTCCGGTCGATGTTTGTACAAGGTGAATTATTTCTACATGGCTGGACAAGTGGAAGTGATGATTCTAATTACTGTTCGATGTTGGCATGACGAAGTGATTATGTCTCTTATTATATTGTCAAGAACAAATGTGTATGTGTAATATGTGTATGTGTATGACAGGTTTATTTGTATCTTCGTGAATATATGCTTTCCTGCATAAAGTTGTAGCTATTAGACGTTTAAACCTGGAGCTGGAGTTTCGTAATTCTTAACCCATAATTAATTTTACAGTTAAACAAAAGATTTATCCACTGTATAAAAAAAGGATCAAGTTGACAGATGAAATTCGTATTAGCTTTCTTGGGAAATTACAGTACACCAAAAATTCTAAGCAACTCATTCACACACTCACTCACTCACTCACTCACACATTTGCACCCACACACTCACTCATGCACTCAGGCGTGTTGATAACAGTTGAAAAATAAATAAAATAAAAGTTTTAATTAAATTATATATAAATATATTCTAAGGAATTTATAATTAAGTTTGTGCTGGGAACCCTGACAAAGGTATTTTTTACTTAAAAGCATTCCCAAATCTTACATATTGTTATGCATATATGTACTTATAATGAATAAACACATTTTTATTTTTTATTATTTTATTTATAACTTACCAATAGCAAGCAATGTCTTCAGTTTTGGATTGGCCTTCTTCAGAGCATTAATCCTATCGTACAATCCAGCTTTTCCATCTTTAGTCTCATCGTTGGATTCGAAAGAACTGAGTTTTCCCTTCTTCATCCACCCAAAGGCGAAGATCATGTGTGTGCAGAGGTCTGGCTGAATGTCTTCTGGTGTAAATTTCCCGAGCTTCGTACGATATTGCGACCAGTTGGTGTAGTAACAGACCACCTATGGACAAAAAAATAATTTAATATAACTGTGATGGAAGGATTTTCTGCGTTACTTCCAACCTAAAGGATCACCAGTCTAACTTCTGAGTTTTGTATATCCGAACCAATTTGACTTAGGGTCCTTCATGAAAATACTCATCAATTCTTAAAAGCCCGGCAACGCACTTGCGAGCCCACTGGCAATGTGTCTATGGGCGGCGTACACTTAACATCAGATGAGCCTCCTGCCCGTTTGCCCCCTGTTATATAAAAAAAAAGACTAACCCGAAGCCCGACTTTGAACTTAGGGGTCTATGGTCCCCAGCGGTTGCAATAAATTTGATAGCGCAATTAAAGGTTTAATGTAATTTGTAGGTGGCGTTAAAAAACTATAAGAGTATATTTTTCAAACTCAAACTCAAAATATCTTTATTCAAGTGGGTAACCCAGTACACTTATGAATTGTCAAGTTAAATCAATTGTAAATTTACATTTACTACCAGTTCGCAAGTCAAGGGCGTAGAGCGGGTAAGAAGAACTGGCAAGAAACTTTCCGCCACTCTTTTTAATCGCCTAGTATTGTCATACAAATTGTTTGAACTGGAGCAAATCAATCCCAAGGATTAGGATCATTTAATAACAATTAAGATCGTGTTTCAAAATATTTGACAGGCAGTCTCTGTGTGTGTTAGACAAAGGCGACGAGTGCGAGATCAATCAAGACAAGCTTTAATTTACCTTTTCTAACATTCAACATGTATGACTTTGACATGATTTTCGTAGGTTCGTTATATTTGTTAACATAATACTTTGCCATAGTTATTATCTTAGATCTTTATTAGCAATCAAAGATGTGTTAAAAAACTTAATCAAACATTTTTAATATTAAAATATGTCGGAGCAAAGGCGCTAGTATCAGCTGACATTTTCATTATTACATAATAACATCAAACTCAAATTAGTTCAAGACCTTTATATGGTTTATATGATTTGCCAATATTAATAGATATACAAATGTATAGTCTGCAGTGATGATTAAAATGGGAGCTGATACCAGCGCTATTGCTCCGAGAAATATATCAGTATATAATAATTACAAGATTACAATTATATATTCTTGTTACAGATGCGAGTTGTCAAATGTATATTTTCGTGAAACATATAACATTAATACTGAATTACATATTTTGTATGGATATATGAAAAAATATTGCCGCATCATATTATATGTATATCAACTTCCATATAATTACAACTTTGACATTGCTCCAATCTCTGTAGGATATCCTGACGGCAGTTTAAATATCTTGCCCATATGTCTGACCTATCTACATATACACGGTAATGTCGCCCCTATGTGCATGAATTACGGTTCCATTTACCATAAACAAAACTTGAAGGTAAGCAAGTATGCTTTTACATTCAAAAAGCTGTCCATATCCGCGTTGTAATCGTGTAAAAGAGCTTTGGAAATAAGTGTTTATTGTAATGCAGTAGAGCTTAGATTCTCTTGAACGTGGTTGCAAGGTCCGAAAAGACTTTATGACAGGGAAATACAGCCTTTCTTTCTAATGTATTATTGAATAGGATTGTGAACAACTCTACAAATCAAAATTTCCGAGTACTTTTTTACCCCACTTGTTTTACTACCTTTTTAAACCCAGTTTATTATAACTATAATGTGATTACATTTAAATTAGTAAAGCAATACGGTCTATTGAATTAAACAACCTCGACGTCCGTCCTTGCAAAACTGAGCGTTTTATTAGGCAGTTTTTGCCGCGCACCACCACTATGTGGAACCAGCCGCCCACTGAAGTATTTCCGAACCAATTCTATTTAGGGTCCTTGGCAAGAACAAAAAAATACAAGATTCTATGTGTAAGTAGAGTAAGGATTTCAAAGTGTGAGGGGAGCAACTATTGATATACCTAGTTTATCAGAATGCTCAATCTGGATATCGGCGAGTTTTGGCAAAACACTTTCTACTAAACAGAGGGTCGAAAAGGATGTACGAAATTTAAATATAGTTATAATGTTGGGGAAATCAATATCGATTAATTTTCTAAGATTCTTCAATGACAATACTTAAAGAACAATTTTCAGTTATAAACCAAATTATATACTGAATAAGAATATTTCAATTGACTAAAGGACTTCGTATTGTATGGAATTATACAAATCGTTTTGAAATGTCAGTCTTACAAAATCAGGCAGCTCGCTTGTTTATTGTGTTTAAAGTCCGTGATAAAGCAAACAAAATTATGGATAAATCGAACGTGCAATATCGTTTGATTTGCATCAGCCGTTGAGTTTGTGAAATCGGAGCGCAAATGAATTACAAGTCAGTTTTAGGGTCTTCAACTTATATTTTTTGGCAATTTGCCGAATGCCATGCAGTATATTTGTTTATTAAAGTTCACCACATCATAATGCTATGTCTACAGTATATGTTACAAGCTATCTTTTCTAAAATACATGACAATAATAATAATAATTTTTAGTGGCGCAACAACCTCTTTTTAGGTCTGGACCTCAGATTTCTGAATCTGTTTCATGGACATTTTTCAATCTAATATTATAATAGGCAAGTATATGATCAGCCTCCTGTGCCTAACACACGCGGTCGACTTTTTGGGTCTAAGGCGAGCCGGTTTCCTCACGATGTTTTCCTTCATGTGTTCCTCCGCATTTAACATTGAATACGGAGGGACACATAAATGAAGAGTCCCACGCTGAAGCCACTAGGCCAAAACTGTTTAATATCCGTAAATAAGTATTATTTAAATCCGGAGTTTAAACACATGACCTTGAGAATTGAGTCACCCTACTATCTACTGAGATAACATTGCTTCTTGTAACTATATCTATACATTATATATAACCACGTTCCCTGTACGAATAGTAAAAGTATTAATACTTTAGTTAAAGTTACACACGTTTTAGGTTGATAAAAATGGGAAAGTCACATATTTCGCAATTGTCAACAATTTATCTTGTAAAAATAATAAATCTACCGTTTACTTAAAGCATGGTCAAAGGTCAAGCTGAGACTTTTGAAAATTAATGAATCGTCGACAACCCTACATTCAGCGAATAGGCTGCGTTTGTAATTGAAATGTTTGATCGCTCCGATATACGCCAAATGAGATTAAAATATTGATCGGAAGTAGACAGTGGAACGATTCTGTATTCTGTTGGGAATCGGGATTTTAATACTATTTAATAAATTACTTTTTTTTTAAATCTTATTGATTTTCTAAGCCATACATCGAATGATTGTGTCACTTTTAAACTAATAACGATGTTGCTTAAAATTAAGATGTTACTTTGACAGTTGGGAGTATTTTTATAATATTCAGATCTAAGGTTCATGAATCTATAATGTAACTTACAAATATTATATTCGGCAGTGAATCTTGAACTTAGAGCCATTCGCCAGTAGAGCATCGAATTTCCTTTAAGAAATACAACCTACATTGTTCGTTGATTTTACACTCGAGAACTAAGTGTAGGAGGTCCTCTTCTCTCTCGCATCTTCTACAATTTGGATCGTCTCTTTTTTTCATGATGAAGTTACACTTGTTAAGTGGGGTGTAGTACAACAACAATATTACAACATTACTTTATTACCAACTCTTTAAGCTTGCCCTGTATTCTAAAATTAATACGACTCGAGTAACATTAGTTAAGTTACATATGTATATTTTAGTTAATAATTAGAAGCGCAAAACAAATGTTAGGAACACTTGAAGCTTAAATGAGTCCTTTGGTTTTTCCAACACTCATAAATTGTAATAAAACATTCTCTTTCCGATAATGTCCAATAGCTCGTATACACTTGTATCCTTATAGGTAACATAAGAGTCTCTTAGATTTTAGAACCCTTCAATAAGTTAAGTTTGTCCCTTCAATAATAAGTTTGGATATCCGCCACCGAACTTAACTCTCGTAAAACTTTTTCAAATCTGACTTATAGAACTTAAAAAAGCGAAAATCGATAGTAATACATATTTTTTATTTCATATTTTGATGAGGCTGATCTAAAATATTTTTCGGCACATGATACTTGCTTTTATGTTTCGCTTGGGTTATGCTAGACGAATTTTGAATTTGATTAAATTTTTGGCAATTTATTAGTTACGCCCTAGATTGTATAATTTCTTTTTTTCTTTTTTTAAAGACAATTCACACCAATTGACCTAGTCCCATGCTAAGCTGGTGAAGCTTGTGTTATGGGTACTAGGCAACGGATATACATACATATTATAGATATATAGACATATAAATACATATTTAAACGCCCAAGACCTAAGCACAACACCAAATGCTCATCACATCGATGTCCCTCTCAGCCGGGGATCGAACCCGGGACCCATGGATTCGCAGGGGTTCTAACCACTAGACCAATGAGTCGTCAAAGTCTTAGTGAGTGTTTGCGCGTATTTTGAACATCAAGGCAAATTATTAGTTACATATACTATATTATCAGTCTAACCACTTATTGGTAACATATTGTGTGCCTTTCATGTTAAGAATATATCTAAACGAGGTACTCAGGGCTTATTATCTAATATATAAAATTCTCGTGTCACGATGTTCGTTCCCATACTCCGCCGAAACGGCTCGACCGATTCCTATGAAAATTTTAATGCATATTCCGTAAGTCTGAGAATCGGCTACTATCTTTCAAACCCCCAAGGGGAAACCCTAAAAAAAATATTTTTTTCGACATTTTTTTGTTTTTATGATACATCATACAAAAATACATACAACCCTTAATTTTCACACCTCTACGATCAACCCCTATTTTTTATTATTGATAGTTATTTTTATTGAACTAAAAAACTGTTTCCTACAAATAATATACATGGCAAAACCACGTGTGCCGGGTCAGCTAGTTTTAATATAAAATTGTGTGACAACAGCCACCGAACTGTTCTTTGTCGTACAATAATAAATGATGCTTCGATCAACTTTTCATTACAGAACAATATAAATAATTATCTGTCCACACATACCTTATATCCATCTTTATCACGATGGTCATCAGTGGCAACGGAGTTGTCAATCGCGGCAGAAGACTTTCTGCTGGCGATGATCGGTCTCCCACGGATCTTCGGTCTGTTTACACTAGCCGATATGACCTGGTCTGATGACCTGGAGACACTGCTGGTTACAGATGTGTTGACTTTGCTTGGCTTACGTAATCTTCTGCGGACATCTGAAGAGAAAATCTTGTTATTATCCGAAGAAAGTTGCAAGATGTTTCGTATGGATTTAGTAGAAAAACAAAAGAAAAATAGTATGAGATAATTAATTTAAAATTTAAAATACAGTTTGTACATGAGTATTAAAGCTGTACTAAAACTGACTTTATTCCACTTGTCGAAGTAGTACAAATACTCTCTTTCCATAGTGCTTAAATAATTTGACATATATAAAACAATTATTATAATAAAATAAACAAAAAGTTAATTATGTTAACCAATAAATTGCCTACTATCTATATGTTGTTAATTTCAACGAACGAAGACAAACTTTATTTCAACCTTTGAAGTTACTTTCACAAAATTTCTACAAAGAAGAGCCAATTTAAGGCTTTGAAGATACCTTTAATATAAAGTTACGAATCAGGTTATAAGAGTAGCTATAAAAATGCTTGGTTTTAATAATTATAATTTCAGCGATATCCCACTGTATTTATTTATGTTTAAATCCTTCTTATAAATTCAAATTAAAAAATCATTAATTCATTAAGGTAACATAATGTACACTTATGAACTTCAAAAATATTTATTTATGAAAAATTTCTAATTTTACATTTACTGTCAGTTCTCAAATCAAGGGCGTAGAACCGAAGAGAAGAACTGGCAATAAACTATCCGCCTCTCTTTTTAATCGCCAAGTTCTTTGTTTTACACAATGTTTGTAAGGAGCTATTTCATAGAGAAGTAGGGAAGGGTATGACGGGTCTGGGCGTTACTGCATACGATGTTTTGCATTTTCTGAAAAGATTTACTATGGTAATATATATATATTTTTTTAACCATAGGAAAGTAGAGATTTCAATGAACTGAAAGCACACCAACTTTTTGAAAAAAGCTGAAATTTTGACGTCAGAATTTTCGATTGAAAATTAGGGTGTTTTTTCGATATTAATTCAAAATAAGGTGAAAAAATAAATATTTTTAATCAAATAAATTACAGTATATTTGGGACATAATAAGGTAAGTTTTCACCAAATTTCGTTTAAAAAAATTTTTTTTGTAAAAGATAAAAATAAAAAACCAAAAACTTGGTTTTTTGAATTTTTCACACCAATTTTGAGGTTATGTGAAAAATGTGTTAATACAAAAGTTTTAGATCTTTTTATTGCCTACAACTTTGCCGTTTAACTTTCTTCGATAGGACTTTTAGTTTTGCCGGAAATCGAGATAAACCGTTTTTTACCCTTAAAACTAGCCCCCCCACCCCTTCCCGACCTCAGATCGACCGTAATTTATTTTTCCTTTCATTTTGATCATATTCCCCTGCTTTTTTAATAGGTTTCATCCTACTATTATTTTTTTCACTTTTTATTTATTTTGAAGACTATCTGCACTGGTCTATACACCATGTTCCACATGACATCTTAAGTAATTAATATTAATAAAAGTATAAGTACTTCACCGACTGTATAACTATCGTTTGGTGACATGACAACAAAGTGCGAGAACTCTAATCTATAAAGCTGCTAAACAAGTGATAATAAACACAAGATATCTAGCATTTAGCTTTCACAAGACGGAAGTGGGCCAGCTGGCACGCTCCAGATCACCTCAATGCCAGATATTCTCTTTGTCTTACTTAGACATTTACTTGACAGCATTTTAATATGAGCTTCCTGAACATTTAAATTGTTTACGTATTTATTACCGATCTAGGAAAAAGCATTATTTTAAGAACAAAACAAAAGACTTTCTTGATCTTAAAGCAAATTGTTTATTTTTTGCAGTACCTAATAAAATTAGACCTGATAACCTGATACCTCAGTGACACAGCTATTCGAGTGGTTGGCTAAATTGTAGGATTCGCAGTACAAGGATTATTTCTCTTTAAAAGGCACACACGCCTGATCACCTTTCCTATTTAAATTTTAATGGAATTACTTCACTCCGATATTTTTCTATTTCAATAAAGAGTTCATAACTTGCTTAAAATTAAAAATATTTTTGTAAAACACTTACTAGAAGAATCTGTGGTGGGTGCTATGACGGCTACTAGAAGTAGAAGGGTGACTGTCCACCGTAACAGTCTCGGTGGCCACTGTAACAAGAAAAAATAATTAGCGTCTAGTATGAACAGTGATGATAGGTTAAGGAAAACATCGTCAGGAAACCGGCTTGCCTTAGATCCAGAAAGTCGACGGTGTGTGTCAGGCACAAAAGGCCGATCACCTACATGCCTATCGGATTTACAAATGATCATGAAACAGATATAAAACACACTTTCTCCTTCCGAGGCCCTTGCATCTTTAACCACTTCCTTAAATACAAAATTATCACTAACATTTCAAAACTCACATTACATACACTTACTAAAAATCTCAAACAATATCTTGTCAACCTTTTCTGATATTGAAAATATTCTTACTGTGCAAAAATAGTTTAAATATAAATTTGTGTTGTGTAGAAATCATAAAGTAAAATACAGTTAGATGTCCAAAGATCGTCACATTATTGACCGTCAGGTCTTGCTCATGTCCATGGGCGGTGTTTAGTGGTCCCACAAAAACAAAGGAAATTCTAGGAATAATTATTAGCATGAAACAGTTTTGTGTAAAGACAAAGACGTTATGTAAACACGTGTTGTGTTGAGACTCATGCATAATGTATCGGTGTTAGGAATATCGAGTTATTAGTGCGGCATCCTTGTACGCGCTAACACTGTTTTTGATCTATTTTACTCGTGTAGTTGGAATATTTTAACGTCTCAAAGCATTAAGGCTGTATACGAAGAGCCTTATAGTTTAATCATACAGTCTTACTAATCAATTTAATTATTTGGAAAATAGAAAATTAAAAAATTAAAAACAAAACATTGCTGCTTAAATTAACGATTTTTTAGTCTTTGAGTATATATATTGTGAGCTTAATAATTTTTTGCTAAATGGTTTTTATAATTCGAACAACTCTAAAGGTTTCTAACTTAAACTCCAAAATTATTGCTATATTTGATGAAGTCTAAGTCTAGACTCTGAATCAAGTGGGTAGGAAATAAGTTCGTCATCAAAGCTCACACGTTTAAGGATAAACTCTAGTTTAATCAACTTATTTGTGACTAAAGCACATTTGTCTTTTTCCGTCAAATTGCGTTTACGATGGGATGAAAGGAGACATAAGTAATTAATTTTTTTACGAATAAGAGAGACAATTATGGAAAATTTACTATTATACAGTGATTAGTTTCCTAAAATTAGTCGTAGTTATAGATATCTGTTTACATACATTTCATGATGAATGCGTAATTATGATTGTATTAGACACATTTGTTTTAAAAGACGGTAAGTCACACATATATAAAACTAAAACTAAAACTAAAAAAAACTACTAAAAAAACACTAAAACTATTTTTTTTTATTGTCTCTGAAGTGAAACATCATTTAACATTACGATCTAGCCTAACTTAAGACTAATAAGTCAATTAAGTCTAACCTAATTAACTTAAAAGAAAGTGTCCAATAACACTACTTACAGACTCTATTAATACACTCAATTCTTGTGTCCTTTTTTCCACTTACCGCAGGAAAACTATAAAACCCTTATATATGTATTTCCTCTATTGTTCCAATAACTTTCGGCGAAATGAAGGAAGCCATAGTAACGAGCTAACTTCGTAATGGACGAATAGTCAGCAAAAACGTAATGGAAAAGTAACTGGCGGCTGTTTCCAATATAAATTGCCTTTGCCGAAACTATCACTACTGTGGGAATTATGTTTTTAACGATTGTTGATTTCGATATAAGATGTGTATTGAATGTGAATTAAAATCTCCTGCGTTGTGTTCTCCTGTATCTTGAAATAATAATAAAAGTTGTTACAAAATTGGTTGCGAGATTCACAACTATTCTATGTGCCTCGTACGAACACGAATTATCTGCGTAATTCGCCAGTGCATCGGGTTTTAGCTTACTACAGTACAATTTATGAAGATGTAGACATTTTTCAGTTTACCAAGTGAGGAATTATTTGAGGAAGCGGGAACAAATTCTTTTTTATTCTAAGTTGTTTTTTAATATTAATTAAGTTTTATTTTTTTGAACTTTTTTGTTTTATATATGGTCTAAATGTTCTTTTTTGTTGTTTAAATTACGTATATTAAATAAATAAAAATTGATCCGCTAGCCCCTGTGCTGTGGGTAACTAGACAACAATAATTCCGTAGTAAATGGGGCATGTTTAAAACATTTTTTTTAAGAACGAGTCGTCTTTTGTTTTACATGTAATCAAGCAAAAGTCGTATAAGACTTTAAGTATATATGAATGTATGAGAATGTTAATGGGTGTGTGCGTATAATAGACTCTGGTTTTGAGTGTCGTTGCGAGTTGTTATAAGCGTGCACTGTGTCTGTTAAATCTGTCTGTAAATAACTCTTATTATACTTTGTTAATGATTTGTCACAAAACATTATACAAATACGTTAGTACAGGGTTGAGGAATTGATGAATTCTTTTGCACACGGGAAGATTATAGGAATTTTCTTTAACACAATTATCGTTTCGCCTGGAATCGAATGCAAGCTCAGGTTGTGAGTCATGTACGATAAGCACGTCAGGTATGTTCTCGTAAATTATTAAAGAGATTCCATGAAATTTCAAATCAAACCTTACTACGTATATATAAAAAAATATAATGTAAACTATTATATATAGATATAAATTATATTCTGATTTATACATAGGTTATAAATACAAAAAAAAAGAAAAACAATAACTAACCTTAAAATATATTATTAAATGCTAATTATTAAATAACTTAAAACTTGTAAAAAACAAGCGAAAATGTGATATTAAAATGAATGTGAATATGTAAGGTTTTATTATAATGTAGGCTTATACAAATTGTTTGTTCAAAGTTATTTTTAACCTCAAGTGTAGTGATGTTGGTCCATCTATTACAAAGCGTGAAATCTACTATGCCATAACAAAAGCAAAAACTCGGAAAGCTGTCGGAGCTGATAATATACCAACAGAGATTATAAAGCAAATTGAGGAATGTAACTTAGATTATATCACAACCCTTTTTAATGGTATATACGACTCAGGAACCATTCCTTATGACTGGCTTAAGTCAACATTTATCACTATTCCGAAAACAAAGAATCCCAAAAAATGCAACGACTATCGGACTATCTCACTTATGAGCCATGTTTTGAAACTCTTTCTGAAAGTGATACATAATAGGATATACTCTAAATGTGAATCAACACTATCCTGCACCCAATTTGGCTTTCGAAGCGGTTTAGGGACGAGAGACGCTCTCTTTGGCTATCAAGTGTTGAATATGAACAGGGATCTTTTCGTCTGTTTTGTCGATTATGAGAAAGCTTTTGATAATGTACGACATGGTAAAGTGATGGAAATACTCCAGAGAATTGGCTTAGATTATAAAGATTGCTGTTTCATTAAAAACCTATATTGGAAGCAAAGTGCTAATATGAGGGTAAACAGCAAACATTCTTCATATATCGAGATTCAGAGAGGTGTGCGTCAAGGTTGCATTTTATCACCTTTGCTATTTAACTTGTATGCCGATGCAATATTTTCAGAAGCCCTAGATAATTGTCAACATGGCATAGCAATTAATGGCAAACTGCTGAATAACTTGAGATACGCTGATGACACGATCTTAATCGCAGAGAGCCTCGATGGTCTACAGAATTTAGTCAATTCAGTTGCCGCCGTGAGTTCTGAATTTGGTATTAGCATCAATGCGAAAAAGTCAAAATATATGACAATAAGCCGAACACCGGAGCTTTTCATGCAACATATATACCTCAACAATCAGACCTTGGAACGTGTCTCGAAAATACGATATCTAGGCACAGTGATTGATGAAAAGGGTGACCATAGCATCGAAATCCGCTGCAGAATTGAACAAGCTCGGAACGCCTTTTCAAAACTAAAAAAAGTACTTTGTGACAAGCGCCTAAATTTACAGCTTAGAACTCGCATTGCGCGATGTTACGTCTTCTTTGTGCTGCTCTACGGCGTAGAATCTTGGACGCTGACAGAGACTATGTCCAAAAAACTGGAAGCGTTTGAGATGTGGGTTTATCGACGTATGCTTAAAATATCTTGGACAGACCGCATACGAAATACAACCGTGCTGGACAGAATGCAGAAGAACAAAGAAGTGCTTATGATGGTTAAGAAAAGGAACCTTGAGTATTTCGGACACGTTTTACGTAACTCCAAAAAATATGAGCTCCTTCAACTAATCATACAAGGCAAAGTGGCAGGTAGAAGGAGACCTGGCCGCAGACGCACGTCCTGGTTGATAAACTTGAGACAATGGTTTGGTCAAAGCACCAAGTCATTGTTTAGAAGCGCGACATCCAAAATTAAAATAGCCATGATGATCGCCAACCTTCGCAAGGAGATGGCACTATAAGAAGAAAGTTATTTTTACGGGTCCATTAAAAATTCAAAGTCGTTATGAAACATACTATGCATATACCACGAAATAAGGACAAAGCCTTAGGCTATTTTAATTTAAAATCACTACTCGTTGTACAATAGAGCGGGAACGACTGCAAAAAAAGTAATTAAAAATTCTGAATGCATGAACTATGAATAACATCTTCTAAAGATTAAATTCCTGGAGTC